TGCCCACTGATGAGTGGGTGGGGAGGAAAGGATAAGGCAGGAATAGAGAGGGGAAAAAGAGAAAGTAAGAAAGCACAGATCAATTTGCTAGTTTCTGCTGATCACAGACCACATTTGGGTAACAGAAGGATACGGACCCAGCTGTCACCATCTTCCACAGCATTCAAAGCACCCTAGGTACAGGTCGGTATGACCTCACTCTGGGGAAAAAGCAGAGCCAACAGCAACCAAAAGAAAGGGAAACAGAGAAAGAAATACATTATATAGGAAGACAGAGGTAAAACACCTCATAGTACACATAAAATGAGCCTGGGCCAGAGCAACCCTAAGAGAAGAATGCAATGCAGAGCAGGGTCCTAACACCAGGCTGACATGAGCAGCCGAGTGACCTCAGAGGCTGACCGGCAGCCAGGGGTTTCAGCTTTCTCATCTGTAAACTAACCAGGCTGACCAAGATGAGCTCTGCGAGTCCTTCCCCTGATCCTCTCTGTATGTGTCACAGAGTCCTCCCGGCCAGGACAAGCACAATACAAAAGGCATAAGGCAAACGTACAGCTTTATCATTCCAAGAACAAAATCAAAGCACAATGAGAGATTAAACACAGAAAGCTTTGAAGATTGGAGGACTTCCAGCAGAAGTCACACAAACCGTTATTTTAGATAGATTTAATCTTCTAACCTTTAGCGCCTCTCACAGCTTGAGAAAAACATTTGCCAGTGAAGCCCCTCAGCCTCTGCTGAAGTGTCATCGAAGGGACAGCTGTACAATCAGGGCTATTGAGGGAGTCTTCAGGTAGAGTCCTTAAACTTCCAAACCCAATCCAGACCCAGAAATAGCCAATTTACAAAGGAGAAAAGAAACCACTGGAACAAGTAACTACTGAGAAGTAAGCAACAGATAACGTGGCCAAGGAAATAAATCAAAGACTGAAAGAACAGACTTGATACTTCTGGGTCCGGACTGACCTGTTTCCTGAACATTTTTGAATGCTCTGTGCTCTGATGGTTTGATGGGCACGAAAGAGACTCACAGGCTAGGGGACAGAAGAAATATGAAAACGGTACGAACATAGGCACAGACCAGTAATGATGTGGCACAGACTGAGACAGAAATAAACAGCGGATCTTCCCAGGACATAGAGGGCAGAATGGCTGAAGGAACTCACCAACCCCTGAACAGTAATCTGCTCATGTTTTTTAGTTTAAAATTTCCTTTGAGAAGTGAAAGACTTCTACAGTAAAAATTATGTCACTCTGACAAAGGCGATTGTAGAAGACATAAGAAAATGGAAAGATATGCCATGTTTCTAGATAGACAGAACCAATATAACCAAAATGGCTATATTTGCAAAACTGGTAAAATCTGGTGCAACCCCAGTCAAAATACCAAAGGGATTACTCACATATCTGGAGAAAACAATCCAAAGATTCATATGGAAACAGAAAAGATCCAGAATTGCAAAAAAAATTCTGGGTAATCACAGCAAAGTGGGAAGCATCACAGTTTCTGATCTGAAGTTATACTACAAAGTTACGGTGATCAAAACAGCACGGTACTGGCAAAAAACCAGAAACATGGATCAATGGAACAGAACAGAAAAAGAAACAACCCCAGACACATTCAACATTTGATCTTCAACAACAGGGCCAAAAACATGCACTGGAGGAAAGATAGCTTCTTTAATAAATGGTGTTGGGAAAATTGGATACACATATGAAGAATGAATTTAGACTCACATATTTCACCATATACTAAACTAAAATCAAAATGGATCAAAGATCTACAGAAACAATCTGCTGGAAAATAAAATAGGTAAAACTCCTGAAGACTATATAGGCATAGGCATAGGCAATAACTTTCTGAACAGAACCCCAATGAAACAAGAAATAATACAGAGAATCAATAAATGGTATCATATCAAATTAAAAAGCTTCTAAACATCAAAGGAAACAATCAAGTGAAAATACAAACTATAGAATGGGAAAAAATTTTGGCTGTTATTCTTTGGACACAAGACTAACATCGAGAAGATGTAAAGAAGTTAAAAAAAATTAGACTCTCCAAAATAAAAGGCCAATAAAAAACTAGGCAACTTATAAATAGACACTTCTTAGAAGAAATACAGAAAGTCAATAAATACATGAAAAAAATGTTCAACATCACCAGCCATTAAAGAAACGTAAATTAAAACAACACTGAGGTAGTATCTTACTCCAGAAAAAATGGCTGTCATCAAGAAATCAAGTAATAGCAAGTGCTGGTGAGGCTGCAAGGGAAAAAGGAACACTTCTACATTGTTGGTGGGAATGTAAACTGGTACAACCACTATGAAGATCAATATGGAGATTCCATAAAAAACTAAAAACAGAAATTCCACCAGAGCTAGCTATGCGCCTTCTAGGAATCTTCCCAAAAGAGTTAAAGATAAAATGCACACCTATTTTTTATAGCAGCACAATTTATAGTAGCTATATCTTGGAAACAGCATACATGGCCAGCAAAAGATGAATGGATAAAGAAAATGTGGATTTATATACAGTGGAGTACTTTGACAGAAACTTGAGGCATTTGTAGGTAAATGGATGCATGAGACCACAGTGTTAAGTGAAATAAATCAGACATACAAGTTTAAATCCTGCATGGTTTCTCTTACATGAGAAACCCAAAATATAAATGAAAAGCAAAATAAAGGATAGATAATAGAAAGTAGGGAGATCTTTGAAATGGGACAGGGAATAAGAGATAGGGGGCTGGGAAGGGAGGGGGAGGGACTAAAAAAGTAATTGAGGAAAAAATGGAAACAGCTTTTTAAATGGGAAGGGGAACAAGGGTTGGAAGGAGCACAGAGGGATGGGAGGGGAAGGGGACATAAAGAATCAAGATGTGTTATATACATGGGCAAACTCCCCAGGAGAAATGTAGTCTTTATGTACTGCAAGCATATACTAATAAAAAAAAAAAAAAAGAAAACATAAAAATTAAGTAAAATGGCCCTGGGGCTTTGGAAGGCATTAGCTTTGACCTGGTGTTTGACCTGAGATGGCACGCACCATCTCCTCACCTGGAGTTGTATTCTTACACCACTTCTGTGTGAAAAGGGTTGATTTAGGGCTCAGGGGAACCACTCACAGGCGGCCACGGATGCTTTGCAGCAACACGATGACCGTGAAGGACAGGAGGTGCTGCATGATGTCCAAGCTCTCCTTGGAAAACCAAAATGCTAAGATGTTGTAATGCTGGTCATGGGAGGGAAAAGAAAGCTGGCAAACTGCTGAGAAGCTTCTGACAGTGAGGATATTCTTAGCAAATTCTACAGCAAGGTCAACAATGGACATCTTGTATCCGTATCCCAGTAACTGCGCATTATCAGAACCATCAGCCATCATGGAAAAGCCCAACCACGTCTGTCATATCTGCACCAGGGAGGTTGATTTTCGCATAGTGAAAGGTTTCCATTAAGAGTAAATTTCATTTAAAAGCTTGAGTGGTTGGAAAGATAAACCCCACTCCCCAAAAACCTGGCCATCTAGAACAATTCATTCTTTTAGAAACTCAGGTCGGCTCAATTACTATGCTACCAGCGAAAACCAGTGTGTTCTTATAAACGTAGTGCTTCACACAAAAAAATCAAAACTGCAGAACAAAATTCCCGTGTCACTACCTTGGGAAACCTTAAGGACATGCCCTGGGACAGTTCCAGGTGGCATTCAGTGACAGGCATAATGAGCTTCCTCTATTACATATTACAGTCTACTGGAAAGCACGGGATGATAGAAAAAATATACAACTTTAAGCACAAATAGGCCCAAGGAGCATAATCAATCCATAAAAAAACTAGAATAATTTCAAACTATTAGAGGTATAAGAGAAATACGATATAGGAGCGAGTGTTTAGAAATTGCTACAGACAGGTATAGAAAGGGATTAAGAAAAAATAAACAAAATTAATAAGGGACAATTTAGAGAAGAGGCATGGAGCAATAAGAAACAGGACAATACCAAATTTGTTTTTTAAACAAAGGCTTGGCTTTATTTTCTCTGTAATCATGGCTGGAGGTGGGGGTTAAAATTCACAGTACCAATTATTTTCTCCTGATGATAAAAATTCATCTCCTAAATTCATAATCAGCAAAGTTAATTGTGGTAAAACATCATTTGGTACAACAAATTATTTAAATATTACTCACTACAGAATTGACCCTGCCCTTAGCTGAGAAAGGACCAACTCAATATTAATTGAGCACTGTCCAACTCAACTGCTAACAATAAAAACAGCAACAAAGAGAACAGCTGACATTTGTTGAGAGCTTCCAGTTGTTTGGCTGTCCCTGTTTGGTTCAAAGTGTGCAATGTCTTGGGAGTGGCTGGTTCCCCAAGGGCTCGTGTACTTGGTCCCCAAAATGGTGACAAGAGGTGATAGAACCACTGAGAAGTAGGACCTCAGGGGAGTCACTGTGTGTGCTGCCCTCAACAACAGTGTACTTCCCTTGGGACCCGGTTAGTTCTCACCACAGCGTTATTACAGAAGAACCAATGTGGTCCGTCCTGTCTCTGGCTTTCTGTTCTACCATGTGATCTCCCATGGGCGTGCCCCTCACCACGGTGCTACAATCCATGATGTGAAGCCAAAGGTGCCCTTGTCAGGCAGCATCACACTGGACTTTCAGCTTCCAAAACTATGAGGGTCACAAAGTTCTTGTTATAAAGCATACATGTGCAAGTCTTTTGTGATAGCAATGGAGAACAAACTAATACAGTGTTCAACATGGTAGTTCAACTAATCCTCAGGAGGTACCTGGAATCTCCATTTGGTACAAAGGAAGTGCAGAATAGGCAGCCTCCAGAGCCTGTGCCCTGGCTACTACACAAAACCCAAGACTATTTTCTATACCATCTTCTAGTTTTCACCTTCTCGACAACTTGTACCTCAAATAAGCCAGAAATAAGTGATGCAAAAATACGTGACAGCAGAAATAAGGTAATGCATTATATCACTTACCGTTGGGGAACGCTAACACACTGATGATAAGAAAGAAGAAAATAACAGAGAGGATGCCTCTCCAGATGTTGTCTTCTGGCACAGAATCATCCCTGGAAAGAGAAAAATAACATGGACAACTCATTTTCAAATCTAAACAGTAAATTTAAAAGGAGTACAGTTTCCCTACTTTAAAATCTGGGTGCTATTAATTTTATTTACTTGAACAAAAGTCATCAAACACATTATTTACTACTCATTAACTATAATCATAAATCTCATAAAGTTCAGTTCTTACAAGAAAAATTATTGGTTGGGTTTGGCTCCCAGTATGGTGTAAGTGTGCACAATAATTACTGTGTAAAACTAAGTAAAATTTCCCAAATGGAAGTGTTCTTAACAATGACAGTAAGGAAGAACTTGGTTTTGACAATGTACATAAAAAAAAAGTCCAGGAGCACATCTGGGGTTCAAGAAAAGCAAGCGAAACAGGGAAAACGTAAGACACTAAGGAGAAGATTTTCTGAATTATTAATAGTTTTTGAGAAGCTTGGAAGAAGGAAGTTCAGTATTTCATCTTTTCAAATGCAGAATGAGTACGAAGAAAATATGATATGGAACAGACTGGAAAGAGATAATGAGGTGAACGGTAACAACTTAAAAATGGTAAGAGAAGTTGAGTTTATTGAGGAAAGCACTCCAGCGAAAAGTTTTCAAAAGACAAATATGAACATTAAACATTACTGACAGAAAAGTAAGAGAAGGAGGTAACACGCTATTTTTCACAACCATTACGCTGTAACTACTTGTTAGAGCTTTCTTGTGTATCTCTGTCTTCCTGAGAAACCACTTTGAAGATACCACATGTATTATAGCCGTCATTGATATTTTCCTACTAATCTGCCCATAACTCTGTAATGTTTGTATTGTTCCTATGCTATTTTCTAAATGGATGTATGTTTATTACTATGTGTTTCCTACAACAACCACTGAGAATAGTCAATGATTATTCAATTGGTCACTCATGTATAGCTCTATTTATTTTCTTCAGAAACCACTTTGAAGATACCAAAGTAGAGTACAACAACCATTGATAATAACCTACTACTTTTGTCTGTAACTCACTATTATTTGTCTATGTGTTTTCCTGAGAAACTATCTTGCAGGTAACAGTATGTAAAACAACAACCATTGATAATTTCCTACCACTTTGTCTGTAATTCAGTAAGCCCCCCTATTACTATGTTATCCTTCTTTTACTCTTTAAAATTGAAAAAAAAAAAAAAAAAAAAAAGAGAGTTTAAGAAACATTAGAAGAAAACCAAGTTTGAAGTTCAGGCAGGCACCACGGAGCCAGTCTGGACTCCACACCAAGCCCCTCTCTCAGTCAACCAAAAAAACGAAACAAAACAAAATCCACAGAGCTATCCATGTTTGTATGAAAAAAACAAATCAGGAGAGGCAAAAGCCTGTAATCTCAGTACCCTAGACGCTGAGAGAGGAGGATCACAATGTGTTCAAGGCTAGCCTGGACTACATAGCAAGATCTGTGTCAAAAAATCAAAACCAAAACCAAACACAAGTTAGGGCCCACCCCAGGCAATTTAGTGACTTAGCAAGAGCCTGTCTCAAGATAAAACACCAAAAAAAAAAGGGAAGGGGAGAGGGGGAGGGGAGGAAAAACAGCTGGAGATATATAGTTCAGTGCAAAGGCCCTAGAGTCAATCCCCAGTACTGCAGGTGGGAATCTAGGTCAAGCAATTCTAGATCCTCAAAATATGTAATAAAGAGGTGTCAAAACAATAAGGATTACGTTATAAAGAAGTAAGTCCAAAGACACTGGCTTAGAAACAGAACTGGGTTTAGACTAAGATTCTATTTAGGCAGCTAAATTCCTGCATGCACGTTAAATAACTTCCAGAGTTATAACCAGATTGAACATGGATTCTAAAATAAGAGACAATATGTTTCTTAGATCATCATCTGCCCATAAAATAGCACTAGCAAACAAATGCTGTTCCCCTTATAGATCAGATTTCAAAACTAAACTACACAATCAGACTTCTTCGTCTTCAATTTTATTTCAGTACCCTAACAAACTGCCCACCAGCCCCAAGATCATGGACATGCCCCTGAAAATGCCAGCCTGATCATTACCAGGGCACCTATGATGCCCTTTGGAAGCTCCATATCCAATTTCCAGGGACACCAGTTTTGAAGAATGGCTGCACAGGGAACGAACACAATTTCTTCACTCAGACCAACATCACATTACTGGTACCAACAGTGACGGTGACAGTACAACAGCTCCTATACATTATTATCTGCTATGTACCAGGCACTCAAAAGGCAGTCAGTCAACGTTATCTCTGTCAAAAACTGCTGAATGGAGTATCAGCTACATTTTAAAAATGAAGTAACAACAGCCTAGAAGGGTTAAGTAAGATGTCCAAGATGGTACATGTTAAGAAATTGCAGAGTTGGCATTTCAAAACCAGGTCTGCTAGATCCTGAAAGATGATGATCTCTCCTCCACGCTAAGCTGCCAAGGGAAAAGATTACCTGTCATTTGAACTCAGTCTGAGTCATGTCAAAATCAAAGGATTGGTAGGAGTGACTTGGACAAGACACAATATGGAAGTTGCGAACTAAAAGCAAGGCTAGAATAAATAACCACTGTGTGGGAAAAGGAAGATTCTATAATTCATACTTTATACCAAAATATATTTTGAATGACTGGAAGAATCAAACACTAATCAAACTAGAAGAATCAATGGGAGAATTAAATAAAAGTCAACAATCTCAGAGTAGAGAAAAACTTTCCTGAAGTATGGTGCAAAGCCCAGGGACAGAAACAGATTTATCTACATGATGAAAGAGAACAGTAACATCACTGAAGGAAAATCAGAAACAAGTTGCAACCATATCGAAGGGTATGAAGTGACTACTCACAGGATGGGAAATCTAATGGTCTCAGACAAACGAGGAGGTGGTCACTCTTACTCAGGGAAAGAGATATACAAATTAAAATGACACCAAGAAATTTTTTGGTCTCCCATATTTATAAAGGTAAACTGTAAAGTGATGTATGTTTTAAAGTACTTCGACTAGAAGGTAATTTTCAAAGGTAAATTTACAAAGTCCACTGTGGCCTAGTTTCAGAAAGGACAAAGGGTGACACAGTAACTCTAAAGAGTCTAACAAAAAAAAAGTATCATCTATAGGCAATTAGATCCTCTATGAACTGAAAATATATAGCACAGGAAAATCAAACTTCCGCCACTGAAGATAAATGAGTATCAACTATGGACAATGATTAACTGACTGAATAAAAATATATAGTACAGGAAGATCAAACTTCTCCAGTTAAACATAAGGGAGTATGTGGGTAACTTTAGGAAAAAATTTGAGATCCATTCAACAACTCAAATTTCATGATCAAGCTGGTGAGGACATGAAGAAAATGGACACTCATTATACACTCTTGGTGGCAGTATAAATTTGAATTTTTTTATGGAGAGCAATTTAGCAATACAGGATTACAGTTATAAATGCATACACCCTATGATTTAGCAATCCCATCTCTGGGAATTTATGCTGCAGCTACTCTACCACACAAAAAATGACGCAGGTACCAACTTGTCCGCTGTGAAACTACATATTCATAAAAGACTAGCAACAAGCTAAACACTCACAGAAAGAAGTCTGATTAAACTATAGTCCAATCTCACAATGGAAAACTAGGCTGCCATAAAAAGAGAGCTTTTTTAAATGAATTAACCATTTCAGAATAATTTAAGAGATAATATGAAATAAAGAAAATTGCACAACAGTAAGTATAGTAAGTGACCTTTTGTGCAAATACAAGTATGGAAATATGTTACAATTTGTGCACAGAACGTCTCTGGAAAGCTACCTAAGGAACGGTGACACTGATTTTCTACACAAAGGAGCAATGAAAGGCTGACTGGGTGGGAGCTTCGGAGGGAGATTATGCACCACACACCCTTTGGAATCACGGAGATTTCAAGCAAGGGGAATACATTATTCTTTTAAAAAATTAATTAAATAAATAGCTACAATAAACCAGCTAGTGAGCCTCTGCTTAAAATTACCTACCAGTCAAAACGCTTGAAAACATACATCAATACTACATTTACAAGAACCAGAGATCAATAATATGTAAGTATATAAAACCAAAGAAACTACAATCTTGTAAACTTTAAGCTATTTTATTAGAAAGAATCAAATGGATGGCCTAGTTACAGGATGGGAAAAGGGTAATGAAGCAACTCTAAAAAGCCTAACAAAAAAACTATCAACTATGGACAGTGAGGTCTCTTGATTAACTGAAAATATATAGTTCAAGAAGCTCAAACTTCTACAGTTAAAGACTAGGGAGTGGCGGGGTGAGTTTAGGAAGAAATCACAGTGCCATACAGAGGAGAGAGGCTCTACCTTCACACTCTAGTCTGAGTTTCTTGAGTGCGGAGAGAGTGTGCCTACAGCACCCTGCACAGCCCTCACTAGTGGTTGCATGATAAGGCCATCAACACCCTCACTGGCCTCATGGTAAGTGGAGAAGACAGGAAGGTCTGGGATGAGCTCATCTTCCCTATATTTCAAATACCATCATCCAGAAGTTAACCACACAGAGATATACAGACATTTTCTGTGGTCATAAAAAGGAATCTGGCTACAAGCAAGGGCTGCACTAGTGACTCTAGAAGGCTCACACTTGGGGGACAAAGACTGTTAACTCTGGACATCCTCTGTATCCTGTTCCTCATGGGCTCATTTAGACAGGAGCTCACTCAATCTTCCTAACTCCCTAACGTGGGAAATGGTCATAATGGGCATTTTACTAATGGTGTCTGGCTCCTAACTACAAGTTCTCTTCCATGCAGGAAGGCCCACAATGGCCAGGAGTGCAGGCCTGGGCCAGTGCCAGCTGTGTGGCCCTTTACTTCTCTATGCCAGTTCTTCCTCAGTAAACAGACATGAGAAATAATTCCACCTCGCGGGGTCACTGTGAGGATTAAGTAATTTATACCATGTACCTGGAGCCTTGGAGAAAATCATCTTACTACTTTTGTTTCCTGTGCCTACTTAT